AAAAAAAAAAAAGGCCAGGCATGGTGGTTCATGCCTGTAATCCCACCACTTTGGAAGGCTGAAGTGGGCAGATCACCTGAGGTCAGAAGTTCAAGGGCAGCCTGGCCAACATGGTAAAACCCCATCTCTATTACAGATACAAAAATGAGCTGGGCGTGGTGACGCATACCTGTAATCCCAGCTACTTGGGAGGCTGAGGCAGGAGAATCGCTTGAACCTGGGAGGCAGAGGTTGCAGTAAGCCAAGATCACACCATTGCACTCCAGCCTGGGCAACAAGAGTAAAACTCTGTCTCAAAATAAATAAATAAATAAATAAATAGGCCAGCCCAGTGGCTCATGCCTGTAATCCTAGCACTTTGGGAGGCTGAGGTGGGCAGATCATGAGGTCAGGAGGCCGAGGCGGGCAGATCACGAGGTCAGGAAATGAGACAATCCTGGCTAACACGGTCAAACCCCGTCTCTACTAAAAAAAGAATACAAAAAAATTAGCCGGGCATGGTGGCGGGCGGCTGTAGTCCCAGCTACTTAGGAGGTTGGGGCAGGAGAATGGCATGAATCCGGGAGGCAGAGCTTGCAGTGAGCAGAGATCACGCCATTGCACTCCAGCCTGAGCGACAGAGCAAGACTCTATCTCAAAAATAAATAAATAAATAATAAAACAAAACAAAACAAAACAAAAGGTGGCTGTGGGGGGCGGTGGCTCACCCCTGTAATCCCAGCACTTTGGGAGTCCAACGTAGGTGGATATCTTGAACTCTGTAGTTTGAGACCAGCCTGGCCAAGATGGGGAAACACCATCTCTACTAAAAATACAAAAAATTAGCCAGGCGTGGTGGTGCTCGCCTATAATCCCAGCTACTCGGGAGGCCGAGGGACGAGAATCACTTGAACCTGGGAGGTGGAGGTTGCTGTGAGCCAACATCGCACTACTGCACTCCAGCCTGTGTAACAGAGTAAGACTCCGTCTCAAAAAAAAAAAAAAAAAAAATTGGGTGCTCCCCAAGGAGGATGGCACGGTCATCAGAGAAACAAGCAACAGCACCGGGTGGAGGCTGAGATAGGAGCATGGAGGAGCCCAGGCCTCCACCTCCCACTCCCAGGCCAAGTGTGTGCCGGGCAGCAGCAGGCCTTACCTGCAATCCAGTCATAGCCCAGGTACGGCCTGAGGCGCCAGCTCCTCTCAGGAACTGCAGACTCCTCAGAGAAGGTCACCCTGGGCTGAGGAGGGAAGCACAGAGGGGCAAGGACTAAGCCAGGAGGGCTGGCCCAGAGGAAGCCACACCTCGAGGGACAGAGAGACTGTGTCTCAACTTACACCCTGACTTGGAGCCCAGGGCTCAGCCAAGGTCACAAGAGCAAGAAGGGAAATGTTTGACCTCACTTTATGTGTGGCTGTGAACAAAGCTTGGCCTCTTCTCAAAGTGCTGAGAAACTCACAGCTACCGCTTAGCGAGCATTTAGGCTAAGCCAGACCCAACTCACAGTATCTCCCAGGAGCCTCTTGTTCTGCAAGGGAGGCTGCCCACAAGCACATGTGTCAGATAGGGAAACTGAGGCCCAAGGAAGCTCCTCCCATCAGCAGATGTCCCGCTCTCCCACATTACCTTGGACAGCTTGCTCTGTTGAGCCAGGATGGACCTCGGGGGCTGTGCCTCCTGGGGTCCTGGATCACCTAGCCCCGCTGAGGGCTCTGGGTCCCTCAGGCTTGAGGTGCCCAGGGAGGGTGCTGAGTGGGGTCTCGGTCGGCCCAGGGACTCCTGGTGCTGGCATTTGGCAGGTGGGAGAGAGGCCACCCCCGATCTGGCCACATCACGGGGGTCCCCTTGGCAGGCATCTGGTGAGCTCCACACAGGACACCGGCCCCGTGGGCAGGAGGTGCTCAAGGAAGTTGAGGACGTCTCTGGGGTCAATGGAGTCTCTGAATTGTAGCTGCTGGATTCCAGGCTTGACTGGAGAGAGGGGCGGGGTCACCCAGGGAGTGGCTGCTAGAACATACCCACGGGTCCTACGCCAGGTACCAAGGCCTGTGTCCTCATCCTGCTCTGGCCTCAGCAGTGACTAAGGCCAGTCTCTTGCCTCCCCAGCCCTCAATATCCCATCATCAGTAAAATGGGGGTGTTGAACAAGATGAGCCCAGAAGCCTGGACGCTGGCCTGAAGGTCAGGTAGCCACTTCCTCTGGGGTTCCCAAGGCAGGCACGTACCTCTAAGGCTGCCCTGGTCACTGACCGCCGCACAGCATCCTGCCCCACCCACAGCTGCCTCAGGAGCTCCAGGTTGAGCAGCCGCAGCTGCGCCAGGTCCTCAGCCTCCACCATCCTGGGCCTCCTGCAGCAGGTGTCACTTGCCCCTGGGCCACAGGATGTCCTCAGGGCTGGGTTCCTGCCCCAGCTCTTCTACTTGAAGTCAAGAGAGCAGGACACGGGGCTCAGTAGGGTGCCCTGTGGTGCCAGAGACCCCCATTTGACACTTTTTAACTGTACTGCCTCAGGCGAGTTATTTAACTTCTCTGTGCCTCAGTTTCCTCATCTGCTGGAAGACAACAGTACCTACCTCATACGATTGTTGTTAGAATTAAAGAAAGCATGTTAAGCCTGGGCAACATTTGTAGAAACATTTTTTTCTACAAAAAAAAAAATTTTTTTTAAATTAGCTAGCCGTGGTGGCACTCGTCTGTGGCCCCAGCTACTCGAGGATCGCTTTAGCCCAGAAGGCCCAGGCTGCAGTGAGCCATGGTCACATCACTGTAAAAAAAAAAACAAAAACAAAAATACAAAAGACAGGCCAAGTGGCTCACGTCTGTAATCCCAGCACTTTGGGAGGCAGAGGCAGAAGATCACTTGAGGTCAGGAGTTTGAGGCAAGCCTAGCCAACATGGCGAGAGGCCCTGTTGCTACTAAAAATACAAAAATTAGCCGGGCGTGGTGACGCGCGCCTGTAATCCCAGCTACTCGGGAGGCTGAGGCAGGAGAATCACCTGAACCTCGGAGGCGGAGGTTGTGGTGAGCCGAGATCGCGCCATTGCACTCCAGCCTGTGTGATAGAGTGAGACTCCATCTCAAAAACAACAACAACAACAACAACAACAACAAAACAATTAGCTAGGCATGGTGGTGGGTGCCTGTAATGCCAGCTACTCAGGAGGCTGCTGAGGCAGGAGAATCGCTTGAACCTGGGAGGTAGAGGTTGCAGTGAGCAGAGATCACACTATTGCACTCCAGCCTGGGTGAAAGCAAGACTGACACACACACGAAATACAAAAAACAAAGTACTTAGCACAATGCTTACTTAATACAGTGCTTACAGTGGTACATAGTAAGCATTCAATAAACGTCTATTATTACCAAAATGGCTGGGGCAAGGTCATGCTTCCTTTTTTTCCAGGCTCACTGCAGCCTCCACCTCCTAAGCAGGTTTGGACAACCGTGCTTTATAACTGGTGAACCCAATACAAACCAGGCTTCAAAAGGGATTCTTCCTCCTTTCCTGCCCTCCCTTCCTCCTTCACTTTCTTTTTACAAATGAAGAAACCAAAGCTCAGAGAAGTTAAGCAATTTGCCTCAAGTCACACAGCTAGCAAGAGGCAAGATCTGAACCAAATTTGACTCCAGGGTAGATGAGTTCAGGTTTCTTGGAAAGCCTTTCCCTGGAAGTGTGGGGGAGCCTGGGAAAACTCCGCCTCCTCCTCCCAGCCCTTGCCCCCCACCTCCAAGTATCCTCAGGATCGGGTGCAAGGTCTGGAGCAGAAAGAAGCCTACTACCCTGGGACCCTCCCACACGTATATGACCCCACAGGGCTGGGGGGCACGGAGATGCAGTCAAGGGGGGCCAACTGCTTGATTCGCAGGACAAAGATCCCGGCCCCCACCCCTAACTGACCAAGTAGCTCTGGGCCACACCCCTGTATCAGAGGGTCGCCGCTTTCGCACGGGGTCAAAGGGCACAGCTGGCCTTGCCTTCCCCTGGCCCTGGTCGCGCTTTGGAAAGGAAACACTGAGCAGAGGCATCGGGAAAGCGACGCTCCAGAAACACCAGGGCCGCAGAGGTAACAGAGACCCAGCGGGCGGACGCCGAGGCGGGACCCCGGCAGAGGCAGACGCAGCCTCCCCTTCTTTTCCACTGCAGCCCCCGAGCCCCTCGCGGGAATGCACGTGGCGCCTGCTGCAGAGCCCTTCCGCTCCACCTCAGTGCCGCCTCCCCTCACTCACCCGGCAGAATCCTCCAATTCGCGCCGCAGCAGCCGCCTC